TTCCTTAGAGTAACTGTCACAGTTGTCACTGTCCTTCAGCCTGCCACCGCTGTTGTCCTCCCAGCACTGAGCTCCAAGTTTGTATGTTGGCTATTTTCAAAAGTCTGCATGCTGTAGAGGCAGTGTCGAAGAACTCCAGTGAAATGGGTTGATTTCTAAATATGCATAATTGTATTTTGAAGGCCTCCTACACTTTACAGAATTCATTTTTCACAACCAAAGAAAAAGGGCAGCAAATTATTTCAAGAGAAGATTTAAAGCAGATGTTTGATAAGTTAACTATATAATTTTACTGCTTGGGGGGTGTGTATTATCTATCTTCAAAAGAGAATACTTGCCTCAGAGTTTTTACATGGGAGACTAATACTCTTCAGAAAAATACATAAAATAACAAATATGTCTTGTTCAAATTTGGAATAGGAAAAAAATGACAAGTGAATAACTCAAATTATTTACCAACTAAGTAAAGTCTACTTCCAAAAGACTGAAAGGGTAACAGGATTTAATCCTGCAGCTCTCTGCTTGTGTTATAGTGCTGAGAACCAGGGACATTAAATGAAGCCTAGATGGGACCTCGCTCAGTGGGTTCCTTGGCAACAACAACATTGCAGCAGGGCCCAGTGTTCAGCCACTTTGTGGCCAGAACTGTTTCTTCATCCCAGAGGGGTGAGTCCACAGATCTGTGCTGCCCCTTACAACACATGCATAAAATGCTCTACTCTTAAATTTTAAAATGCAAAGCAAGAATTGTTTTATTTGGGACATATATGTTACCTATGCAACTTTTATGTTTTTAAAATGATTCGGGAGAGTGAATTTTGTGATGTTGGTCTTTGCAGTTTTTCATTAGACTGCAAAGGAAGAGGGAAGGTCTGGCTCTGGCCTCTCTAGATTTGGGATCTAAGAGAGAAGCAGCTTACAACAGAACTCTTTGCACAGCCCTGGGTAAGTGCCAGGTGTCATCTCAGAAGTGTCAAAAGATACATGAATCTGAATAAACACACTGAAGTGTTCTGTCCCGCACTCTGAAATTATGGACTACTGAGTGTCACAACAAATACTATATTTCCTTTATTTACTTTTCTTCCGAGATGGAAATAAATCCACAAGCTTGACTCTATACATTTTCCCATTTTATTATTTTTTTATCACTCCTAACATATAGGATGTAGAAACTTCCAGACTACAGGACATAAAATACATAGGATTTTTTAAAAGATGTATTTATTTTACTTTATGTGTATAAGTGTTTTGTCTGTGCATACATGTCCCTCCTACTCCCAGAGGTCAAAAGAAGGCATTAGATTCCCTTGACCTGGAATTATAGACTGTTGTAAACCACTAGGTGAGTTCTGAAAACTGAACTCAGGTCCTCTGAAAGAGCAACAAGTGCTCTTAGTCACTGAGCTGTCTCCAGCTTTAATACAGAGTGGTTGGGAGGGGGAAGGGATTTAAAAACTAGCAGAATTGTGTCTTAAAATCAGTTTTAAAGCAAATGTTTTGTGTTGCTAACTTTTGAACAACACAGCTGTGCTGTGTCTACAAGCAAGGCAATGAGCTGACAGGGGATGGATAAATTATGTTTTTCAGAATAATCATTCCTTAGAGATCATAGAAACTATTTCAAGGATCATAAGTTGATGGAATGACTAGTGTTGGTTGTGCTTGCATTTGAATCAGCACAAAAGACTGTGCCATATATGCTCTTCCTAGTGATTAGAAGGGATTTTTTTCCTTAACTGGGTGTTTCCGTGAATTCACAGTTCTCAAATAAGACATGACGAGAAAACAGGAAAAGAAATTACTTAAGAGAAAGTGTCAACTACTTTATCACAGAGAAACCGAGGAGAAATAATAGAGCATGTGCAATTATGTGGAATTCACATAGAATTCATGTTTTTTGATAATCACTTCTAATCTGTCCCTGTGTTAACCTGAAAAACTTGTGTTCTAGTTGAAGTGACTGGGGGTAGGGGAAGATGTAATAGATGCAGCTGTAAAATAGAACATTCTGACCTCTGAGTAGTCAACATCTTTCCTTCAGTTCAAATATTTTTTTTGAGATTTAAAATGCATGTTTTCTCCACCACAGGCAAAGTCTAGTTCACAATTCCACGTGAGAAAACCTAAAGACAAAAGGGCTAGGTTCTTAATGTTAATGAAAAATCTCTAAATTTCACAAAGACCAACCTGTTTTGGATCCTGGAGATGTTGCATTCCCCTGTACCACATAACAAAGTTATGAGATGAGGTTTTTTTTTTCTCTAAGATTCATACCTTAGCACATGGATGCTAAGACCCAGAACAAAATAAACTAAGGGTGGGGCATCTGTTGTTCATACCAGGATGGTTTGAAATTACACTTCTGTTACATCTTCAGAGATAAAAGCTGTACGTGCAAGTGATTAAAAGATGTTTTCCTTTCTGCTGAAATAAATGCATAACTTAAACCACATTTAATTCATAGCAGTTTAGGCCCATTGCAGAGTTCTAGCATTTTTTTTCATGATAGTTACCAATTTAAAGAGCGTTGCTGCCATGAGCCTGAGTCTTTGACAGAAAAAAGTTTAATGAGGAAAAGGCCCTGGCATAAAAATGAAAATAGGAATACAGACAAAGCTACAAGCTGTCAGGTTTCAAGTCTGTGGTGAAGATAAGGACAGTCACAATATAACTGTGCAGAGAAGAAATGAGCAATGGCTCTCTATAAAGGAAAAAGGAGGAGTTTCAAGGGTTTTAAAATTTTAATTGTGTGTGTGTGTGTGTGTGTGTGTGTGTGTGAGCACACATGTGTGTACACATGGGCACTTACATGCAGGTGCATCCACTGCTGAACTTGCAGGGAGTTGTGAGTGTATTGCTGTGGGTGCCGGAACACAACTGATGTCCTTTCCAAGAGCATCAAAAGCTCTTAACCGCTGAGCTGGTTATCTCTCCAGCACCCAGAAGAAGAGTTTTTGACGGAAATTTGAAACAGTTCTAATGTCTGTAACTTTGGGGGCCCTCCATTCCCAGTTGTTCCACCATCCCCCAAGTTGGAATGGAATTTCACAAGAGTTACTTTTAGGGAATGAGTGATAGGATATTTTAATGCAATCCTGAATACAGGTTTAGATTGAAAATGGGAATTGGGACCATAATTAATTATGTTGCCAAGTTTTTTAAACTGTGAAAAGGCAAAGTGATGAAAATGGCATTTCATAGGGTTGCAGCCTTCTACAAGTTCTCGAGTTAAAACTGGTACAATGACAGTATCTTTTTTGACAGTTGATTAATCCCATATGTGGAATGAGTGTGGGGAGTGAATACAGTTGTGGTGGTGGCCCTTTCGGAAACCACTGTAATAAGAGACTGACATAAAACCAACAGGGTGTAAACACAGACTTCAGCTCGGGTGATGGCCTTATTAGCACTCTTAATATTTACTAATGAATAATAATAAATTCCGACCTCCCCCAGCACACTGTGTTCCCTTATGCCCATTCCCTTTTGTACCCATCCATCACTCTTTCAGGATAATAAAACAATTCAAATGCATCCAATCCTCAGTAACAGCTCCCTAGGGAGGGAGGGAGGGATGTTTTATCTCTACTTCTGTGAGCCCAGGGCGGGTTTTACTTGCTTGAGGAGGGCAGGGAATGGCGTGGGGGCCCTGTTTATTTCCATTGATTACTCCCCTAGTTCTCACAGGCACTCAGGGACCCAATAGGAGGAAAACGGGAGGAGTGGAGACCCTTTTCTCTAAAAACTGAAAAAGGGGCATTAAGCAAGTAGAAGGAGGGGGAGAGAGAAAATGGGAAAGTACTGTGTTGTAGACCTGCAGCTCAAGGCAAATAAACAAACGGTTCCCTGTGACTTAATGGAACCTAAAGACAAGCATTAAAAAAAAAATCGCCGCCCCCAAATTATTTAAAAGAACTCTTTTAAAAAAATCAAAGCCAGAGACTTTTCTGAGTCTCCGAGGTTCATACTTTCACTCCAGATTTGGTTTCTGGGAGTTAACTGTCGCCAGAGCAGAGCCCTCAAGGGCCAAGAAGAGGGGCAGTGACCTATAGAGGATTGGGGTGAACCTGCTTAGAGGTGCTCAGGCCAGAAAGGGCCCCTCCACCCTAGTGCGGCCAGAGGGACCTACTTCGGAACTCTCACACTTCAGCCTGGGACTAGGGAGAGGGGAAGTGTGGGAACGAAGCGGGAGACACAAACATGAAAAGGCATCCCAAATCCGGGAAGAGCAGAGCCGGCCGAAAAGCTGGCGTTCCGACTCAGGAGCGTCCCCCACCTCCGCTCCTCGGCTAGTACACAGACTGAGGAGGTCGCCACACAGGGAGGCCGTCCCGACCTCCGAAGCTGCTCTGCTCTGTTGCGGCAAGTATGCGCGGGACCACGACCACCCAGCTTAGCGAAGTTTCTCTAAGGATGCCGGCCTGCGTGGCAGAGGACAAATGAGGAGAGAGCGCGGGGTGGCTGGGTAAGTTCCAGAACATGCCGACCACTGCCGCGCCAACACCATCTGCGGGGAGCCGGTCTTTACGCTCCCTGCTGCGAGTCCCGCAAGCTTTGCAGAACCATGCGCGCCCCCCCCCCCCGTCCCTGCAACACCCAGTCCCACAGAACTAGATTCGGGGAGAGGTCCTGGTACCCGGGGGGGGGGGGGGAGCAAAAGCCCACCCTCAGCAGGCTAAAACCAAATGTCTAGGAAGGCTAGGATAAAGCCAGCGGTTCTGGGGACCCGCTCCCGCCGGACCACGCCTGTCCGCTCCCCAGACTGTGTCTGCCCACCTAATGCCGCTCAGGACGGCCAAGCCACAGACCGGCCAGACAAGCCCAGGGAAAGATGCCCATATCCGTGTCTGGGCGCTTCTCATCTCGCCCGTCCCAGGGTTAAGGACGAGCCTCAATCCGGACTCTGTACCAGCGCGTGGGTGCAGACGCGGTCGGACCAGATCTGCACCGGCGCACGAAGGCGTCGGGGAGAGGATTGCTTCGCTCTTGCTCCTTACCTTAAAGAAGTGCTTGTTTTTCCTAGTGGGAAGAGGAAAGTTTTTATTTCTCCCCGAGGATGTGGTGTACGGGGAAAGTCCACGTCCCGGGATCCCACCAAGTTGTCAAGCACCAGAATTCACGAACTGAGGGGACCTGCACGCTAGGGCAGATGCAGATGATAGAGCAAAATTCGATTGCCCAAGTGTGCCAACTCTGTGGCTGGAGCTGCAAACTTCCAAGCCGGGCAGAAGGCCGGCCGCACGCGGCAGCAGAAGTTGCAGCGAAGTGGTGTAGGCAGCGGCGCCCGGCCGGAGGTCGCGCGGGGCAGCAGGAGCTGATGCCGGAGCCGGGTGGCTGGAGGATGCTGAACCCGCCTGCCGAGCTGGCACTGCTGGACCAGACGGCTCACTAAGCGCCGGCGCGGGCTACTGAGGCAGAGCCAGGCACACCGGCGGCAGAGGCTGCAGCTAGTAAGCTGCTCGCCTAGCTCTGCTCTCTCGCGGCTCCGGGCAAGGAGTGCACATTGGCTCTGAGTGTCACTGCAAAAGCCTGAGCCTCTGCCCCTCCCAGCCCGCCCGCTGCTGCCCGCCCGCCCCGCCTTCCTCTGCCCGCAGCTCCCCCTTCGAGCCTCGCGCCCTCTCTCCTGCCTCGCGCCAGAGTGCAACACACACACACACACACACACACACACACACACACACACACACACACACACACACACACACACACTCGCTCCCTCGCTGCCTCTCTCTCCCATACATTACCGTCCAGTGATCAAGAGCTCCTCACACAAGACCCTGGCGCGGGGGCGGGTATGGGGGGGGCACACAGGACACATTGCTCTCCTTAGGTCCCTACTACGGAGTGGGGGTGGGGGTGTCAGGAAGGTGCATCTGAGACCTCCGTAATGATGCCCGACCTGGCCACGCACGCGGGACTGTCGCATGGCCCAGAAACCAAGGGAACACAATGGAGAGTAACTCTGGCTTGGTTAGGTGTAGAAGGTTCAATCCAGATGGCTGGAGGTTGGAGGACCAAGGCAGAGCACAGAATGCGATTCTTCACCGACTGCCTGCCCCAGCCTTCATTCGGGGAGCTCTAGCGAACCCAACCTCTTTCACTGGAAATACAGCAGCTGTTTTAACAATTTGGGGGGGGGACCGACCCTACAGGACCAGTGAGACCTGGCAGAAATTGTAAAGTCATTAATGTTGACTAGGTAATTATGGTAAGAAGTTACTTAATTGACAATCTGGCTTGAGCCTGGGCGTGTGTGGGAGTGGGGTGGGGGTGGGGGTATGGAGTAATGAAGGCCTCATTTCTTGGCTGAATACCTAGTCTAGCAAGACTTTCTTTTCTCTCTTTTTTCTTTCTCTCCCTTCCTTCCTTCCTTCCTTTCTTCTGTCTTTGGCCTTTAGGGTATTAATTTCTAAGACTATACTGTCCATGATTTATTAACAGTGTCAGTATTGAAAACATGAAAAACGCTTGTCTGTTTCCATTGTCACTAAAGCAAAGATAAAGCAAAAGACAGCTTTATTGAAATGATATCTACAACTATGAGTTTTTTGCTAAACGCCGTTGAAAAGTGGCATCTTACAGAAGGCAGACAGCTCATCTCATCTCCAAAGTTATGTGGCTAGGGAAACTACTATCATAGGTGGATTTGTGAAGTGTGTCCATGCCATGATTTTGTAGAAATTAATTTAAAAAGGCTTGGCAGGTGCTCAGGGTATAGATTTCAATGCAGAACTCTGGAGGATGAAGGACTCCAAGCAGGTAAGGATGAGGGAGAGGAAAAACATTCCACAAACAGAAGTGAAGAGGTCAGGAAAGTGTCAGAATACATGGGTGTCCTGGGAACAGGGAGAAGTCAAGTGTGACTGCATTGCAGGTGGAGTCAGCAAGGGCTCCCACCCCAGGCTCCAGCCCACTGAGACAGGACTTCTGACATGATTGTTTGGAAAAAACGATTCAAGATATTCAACAAGGGCAGATCATAAGGTTTGGGTATTTGTTTAGAAAGAGCACTCTGATACCTCTTTGGGAGACAAATAGGAGTGACTTAACAATGAGAAGGCTTCCACCAGGTGGAAGCAAAAGTAGGTCTCAACCAAGAAAGCTGGGAGGCTGGGGTCATTTCAGATACTTTTAGAATTTGCACACAAGGATGGGTGAGTACATAAAGGGAGATGGAAGAAGAGGGTTTACGCTGATTCTAAGTTTTTTGGGGGGTGGCACAAGACAGGTCATGGTGCCATTAGCCCAGGAGAAGCAATATGAGGATATGCATACATGCATACATGCACACATACATATATACATATATAGTAATATATTCTGCTTTATGTGTGTGGAGTTAGGCTGCCTTTGATGTCTGAATTCAGCATTGAGCAGCCAGGTGGAAAAGGAGGGAAGCTTCTGAGGGAGGCTAGACTGGAATAAGGGGTCATCAGCATTCAGGTGTTTTATAAATCTGAGAAGATGGAGAAGGGTAGGAAGACAGGGGTTTGGCCACGCAAGGACGCTAGTGCTACAGGAAAGAACCTGACAAAGAAAAAATAGAGATGAGAGCAAAAGCCAAACAAGGCATGAGCAGAACTGATAACGCCAAAGGAGTTAGGAGCTGCTCACAATTCTAGATTAGTGTAATCTGACTGAAGTGTGATTTCACCAAAAATAATTACCTTAGCATGTAGAGTAATTTTTTTTAAATTTTAAACTTTTACATGTATATGTGTCTATATGCACGTAAGTATACTCTATGAGAAGGTCAAAGCAGGGTATGCGATTTTCTGGTGCTAGAGTCACTGGCATGCCCAATGTGGACACTTGGGACTAAACACAAAGTCCTCTGCAAAAGTAGCAAGTCGTGTGGTGACATTCCCCATGCATATGTGCCATGTCACTTTGCTCTCAGGTGTCTTCCCACTGCTTTCCATCTTTCCTTTACTTCCCCAGTTACTCCCCATTCTTATTTTCTTACTACAGCTTATTCACCACCTTCTTTCTCTATTTCCCACTTCAGGAGCTCTTCCCGCTATCTCATGGCTTATTTCTAGTTTGTGATCTACAAACACACACACACACACACACACACACATCTGCATACATATAAGTAATGCCAAATCTAGGTTCAACATGTGAAAGAAAACAGAGTATTTGTCTTTCCCAGTGTGCTTATTTTGTTTAACATAATAATTTCCAGTTGTATCCATTTTTTTCTGCAAATGTCATGATTTCATTTTCCTTTATGGCTGCATAAAATTCCATTGTGTATATATACCATATTTTGTTCTCACATCTGCTAATGGATGTCTAGGCTGTTTCTACTTCTTGGTTCTTGTGATTAGTGTATCAATAAACATTGACATGCAGGCATCTCTGTGCTTTGTTGACTCAGGGTCCTTTGGGAACATACTCAAGAATGGTACAGTTGGGTCTTAAGTTGGTTCTATTTTGGGTTTATTTTTTATGTGTACTGGTGCTTTACCTGCAAGCATGTCTAGGCACTGCTGTGTACCTGATGCATGCAGAGACCATAAGAGGGTGTCAGAGCTTCTGGAACTGGAGCTACATGATTGTTAGCCACCATGTAGGTGCTGGGAATTGAACCCAGGTCCTATAGAAGAGCAGCCAGTGCTTTTAACTATTGAGTCATTTATCCAGCCTGAGCTAGTTTCAGGGTTTTGTTTGTTTAATTTTTTAAGGAAGCTCAATATTAAATTCCACAGTGGTTGTTCAAGTTCACATTCCCACCAGGAATGAATAGAGAGCTCTTCTTTCCTAAACTCATCACCATTTACTGTATTTTTGTCTGTTTGTTTTGATCATAGATATTCTGACTAGGGTGAGGTGGAAACTCAATGAAGTCTTAATTTGAATTTCCCTGATGCTTAAGGATGTTGAACATCTTTTAAAACATTTATTGTCACTTATATGTCTTCTTTTGAGAACTATATGTTCGGGTCATTACCACATTTATTGGTGGGATCATGTGCTTTAAATCTTGGTGTTTAGAGGTTTTGTAGTTCCATATATATATATATATATTCCATTTTGTCATTGTGTGATGTGAAGCTTGGAAAGTTCTTTGCCTTTTGGTAAGCTGTTTACTTTGCTCATAAGTTTCTATTGTGCTGAAGATTTTCTTGATTTCATTTAATCCCATTTGTTAATTCTTGGGATTATTTCCTGTGCTATTGGAGTCCTTTACAGAAATTCCTTGCATATATCTTGAAGTCTTTCCTCCTAACAGTTTAAAAGTTTTGGGCCTTACATTAAGTAATGCGGGATAATGCTCTTGTTCACTATAAAGATTTGTCACTCATATTGGCTTAATAAAATGCTAATTGGCCAGTAGCCAGGCAGAAAATATAAGCAGGATTACTAGACTAGGAGAATTCTGGGAAGAGGAAACCAGAGACACAGTTGCCAGCCAGATGCAGAGGAAGCAAGATGAGAATACCCAATTGAGAAAAGGTACCAAGCCACGTGGCTAAACACAGATAAAAATTATGGGTTAATTTTAGTTGTAAAAGTTTGTTAGTAGTAAGCCTGAGCAATAGGCCAAACAGTTTGTAATTAATATGTCTCTGCTGTTTATTTGGAACTAAACAGCTGAGGGACAGGATGGGACGGAAACTTCCATCTACAATTAAGGTCTTTGATTCATTTTCAATTGACTTTTGTGCAGGGTGAGAGATGTGGATCTAGTCTCATTTTTCTCCCTGTGGAGCATCCTTTTACAGCATTGTAACTTAAATCTGTCTTTTCTCCAGTGTATGGCTGTTGACATAGGTGGCTTTAACTGTGTGAGTTTCTGAATCCTCTATTTATTATAGTCCTGATTCATTATTGACTACATGTCCGGATGACCTTGACATCTCTTTTATGTTGTCCATGTGTGAAGTATGCATCCAGATAATATCAGAGAGCGAAAGCAAATTCATCAGAATACAGACTTTGGCCTCACTTGTTTCCCCAACTGACCACTAGACGAAAGAGAGTTATAAAGAATATATTTTATTGCATTTATCATTCTTTTCTTCTGTGAGACACTTGGTCTGCATAATATGAGGCAGAGGGAAATCAGGTGGGCAGGAAACATCTGAAGGTGGGGAGAAGTCTACTACTTCTCTAAGAGTCCATTCCCACTTCAGTACCATATAGGCAGCCAAGTCTACCTGATCTGTTTCATACGATGGGTGAAGTGCTCAAATGAACCCATAACTCAGAAATTCTAAATTTCCAGTAGGAAGAAAGTCTAAAAGATATTAAAGTAACTTACTGATTTTGTCCCTTAAAGATAGATTTGGGTCCATGTGAAAAGCTTTGTAAGTACTCAGCGAAGATGTTTTTAATGGAAATTCATGCAAAAATCCATTCTGAAAGTCAGAAATTGCATTTATCAATATACTTGTTTTCTCAAAAATATATATCATCAAATGTTTCATTTCTCAAAAAATGAAACCAGTATCATTGTATTTTTATATTTATGTATTCTCTATGTTTTGA